CTCACCCCCAGCCCGGCCCCCCTCTCCTTCTTCCCCCTCGTCCTCGCTCAGTCAGTCTGTGAAGGCGAGGAATTGGGGGTTGACATCCCTCCCCGGCAGCGGCCATGGGGTGTTTGGGCAACGGCAAAACGGAGGATCAGCGTATCGACGAGAAAGCGCAGCGGGAAGCCAACAAAAAAATAGAGAAGCAGTTGCAGAAGGAGAGGCTGGCTTATAAGGCGACCCACCGCTTGCTTCTGCTGGGTAAGGAGGGAGGAAGGCGGCGGGGAGAGGAGGGGGCATCTGCCCCAGCATCTGCCCCGGCCCGCAGGGCTGGCAGGGCGCAGTGGAGAGGGGCGATGGGGGGTCTGTGTCTGTGTGTCTGTGTGTGTCTGTGTGTGTGTGTCTGTCTGTCTGTGGTTTTTTGTGTAGATGTGCCTTAGGTATGAAAATGTAGGCTGTTGTATTGAGCAATATGCGAGACGTCCACGGATCGAGCTCAGCGCCTGAGCCACATGGATGCACATACACAGAAATGCTGCCGGAGGTGGGAGATGCTGTCGCCTTCAGAAAATTAAAAATAATAATAATAAAATAATATCAACCAAAGCCCTTAGTCTGAAGCCTGTTATCACAACGTTCTCCCTTCTTTCTCTTTTAGGGGCTGGTGAGTCAGGAAAAAGCACTATTGTGAAACAAATGCGAATCCTACATGTCAATGGATTTAATTCAGAGTAAGAATTATTGATACTTTGTGACTTAATTTTCATTAAATGTTGGAAACAGGTTAAGACACAGTAGGCTAGGAAATTTCTTCTCTCATCCCCGGTGTTCTGGTGGCTTGACACTGCATTTTGGGGGAGGGAGGGGAGGAAAGGGAGCGAGAATAAGGAAATTACTGCTATTGTATATTTGCATTTTCTCCTTCTGGCCCCTTTACTGTATTTTACACTGTTGCTACTGCAGCGCTTGACAGGCCCCTGTGTAGCAACAACATGGCGACTACTTTTTACATAGAAGCAAATAACTAAATGTTGCATCTGTCTGTAATAAAAAAATACATGTCAAGTCATATTCAGGATGACAGTGGCTGCTGTTTTTCCGGTATTTGGTGTAGTGTAAAACTGAAACTAATTTTGCACGTTTGCTAGAAATCGTTCTGGTTTCTGAGGCTACATAATTTTCTCTCTGAAGAACTCTTTGCCAGAATTTATTATTAATCCATAGAGTTAATTTTAGATATCTGTTGGCCTTCGACTACATATTATTAATTTAGAGCATGTTTATAGCATGCTGTAGGAAGGAAAGAATTACAGTTCCATCAGGGGAGGCTTTGCAGATGTGGCTGTGCTTGTCTGACTTAAAAAAATCAGGGATGAATGTGCGTTGGTCTTCATACTATGTGAGAAAATAGATAAGGGGAAAATATATATTTACCTTGCTGTTCTTTTCAGTTAGTATGTTGTAATGATTGAAGAGCAGATAAACAAGCGATCAGTGAAAAAAAAAATGCAACTGACTGAACTGCTTTGGAAGAAAAAACAAAGTGTTAATATTTCTGTTTTAATGCAGAGAAAAGAAACAGAAAATACTGGATATTCGGAAAAATGTTAAAGATGCTATTGTGGTAAGAACATACTTTATACTGTTCTTAAATGCTTGGGTGTACTGGAAATGACGAGGATTGTGCTCTCCAAGATTGTGCTGAGAGAAATCCCATTTTGCTGATCAGATTGGATTATCTTCTATTGATCCCGAATCCTAGATTTATCCAGATTAATGTGTTTGTTTTTGTTTTATCCAATTCTAGACTATAGTTTCAGCTATGAGCACTTTAATACCCCCTGTTCCATTGGCCAACCCAGAAAACCAATTTCGAATGGACTACATCAAGAGTATAGCTCCTCTTTCTGACTTTGACTATACAAAGGTAAGTACAGAAACCTCTGATTTATTCTGCTTCAAGGGGGACCGCATCACTTCTCTTTGATTTACTGAAATGTTGGGGTTTTTTACTTTTTGTGAGATGGACATGGGAAGAGCTTATGCCAGCATTACTACTGGGTTAACTTTTACAAGACTTGGATGGTGGTACCTGTTTTAGTGGTGCAAGGTTTTGTTGCTACTTATTTGCTGCTGTTTGTGTTTGCTGTTTCTGCATTTAGTGCTTCTCTTCTGTGTTTCTGATACAATTACACATACTGACATTTCAAGTAAGACTGTTGAAAGCTGGTTCCCTACATGGACTTAGATGCAGGGTGTCAGTCCGTGTACTTAAAGAAAAGGATATAAAAGGAGATAAAAGGATAGAGTGGTCCCAGTGGTGCTTTCCATACTTACTGTACTTGAGAGTAGAAACTCGAGTAAACCATGGTCAAGTAAGGTGTTTTGCTTCCTGGTGTATTTATTGTAGTTGGGATGAGCAGTGGGTTACTTTTATGTAAATGTTGTCATGAGTTTGATATGGATGCATTAGAAAATCAAAGATTTCTGTATAGGGGCTGCACTTTTGTAGGCAAATGAGGAAGAACTTTTGGATTAACTTGCATAGGCATCTTATGTTTGATTATCTTTTGTATTATTATTTATAGGACCATGCATGGAACGTTTTCTATTCTATGCCTGTCATGAAAGCAACTGCGGAAACATTCCCCATATTATAAGGAATTTTATTTTTCAGTAGCACAATTTTTAATTTGCCTTAAAATGATACTGAGAGCGATTTGTTATGGATACAATAAGGACTGAAAAAATCTTCATTCATTGGCTAAATTATTGCGAGTTGTTCATGCTATCAATATTACCAAAGAAGCCATTTACAGTAGAGTGTCTTTAGGTTATTATAGCTTCAGGGTGGAAGGGGGAGAAGGGGAAGAGTAATTTCTTTATTATATGACTCATATTCTCTGGTGTGTGGTTTTGCCTCTGGTAAACCTACCACTTTCAAGGTTCAAGATAAAGACAAAATATCAGACATCTTGTACAGTTAAAATTTAACACAGAATGCAGATGTTAAGAAAACGACTGCAAAGTACACCTACATATTGCATACTTGCTCAATTGATGGATATAAGTTAGTGAAAAAGAGAAATTAATTTTATAAATGGAATGCAAGCTTGGCATGGAATATTTGTCTTACGCTGGTATTGCAGTTCTGAGGCAATTGTTGCTCATTTTATCTTTTTTTTTCCTCCTTGAATGTTGACTTACTTGTTTGGGTAAACTAAATGGTGGCATATATCCTTTGCAGTTCTTTATGTGACATCAGTTTTTCTGAATTTCTTGGGTAAAAGAAAACTGAAGTGGGCTTTTCATAGCCATAGCTGGAGATTCTGATTTATGTTATTGTTTACAAAAATTCTCTTTTTTCAAAGAAGCTGACTATATCTGGTCAAACTTGACACAGTTATTTTATAGAGGGGAAAAAGCTTGCTCTTCTTGGAGGGGAAAAAGAATAGAGCCTGGTGGACTGTGAAACAAGTAATAATTAATTTGAAATCTTGATTCAAAGTCCATTTTGCTTTTTTTTAAAAAAAGAAACACGTGTTTTTTAATTAAGTAGGATTCCTGCTAATACCGTCACATTATATGAAATCGTGTAAAATAATAGTCATAATTTTAAAAAGAAGTTGTTTACAAGTTTAAAAAATGAAGAAAAATCTAGTGCTGGTTTAGAAGTAAATTATTTATTGTATCATTTTTATCTGTTGTCTTCTGTTTTCTTCTCTGCTCAAGTCACAGGTTTATTATTTGTAAAATGTATTATCTGGCTTGGTACCTGTATTTTTTAATATTTTTGTTGGTTTAGTATGTTGTTTTTCTCTAGGATAATGTGTGAGCAAGAGAGATTGAAAAAAAAAAAAAGTGCTATTGTGTTTCAGGGCTTGATTCCACTCCAGTTTAAGTCAATGAGAACTTAAAGTAAAATTATTATTCCAGCTGAAATACCTTATGACCCGTTTTGTGTTTTTTGATAAGGCAACATATAAAAATAAATAATGAGGTAGTGATCAGTTACGCATCCTTTACTCAGCAGTGTTGATTCTCTGATTAATGGCAGATGTATGGAATAAGGCTCTCTGAGCCTGAGAAACCAATACAGTATTGAGGAGTAGACACTCAGGACTCGCAGTCCTATCATCAGTGCTTTCAAACCGATTTAAAGGAAAAAATGCTGACCTAGGCAGCACTTAGGTTAATTTTTGCACATTGTAAAATGTGAGAAAGGTGCCCCCCCTTCCTTGGAATAAGAGAAGAGGCAATTTTAGGTGTTCCGTTTTGTGTTCTTTTTATGACATGGATGGTAATGAGCTGTTAAAAACATGGCCCTTAGTGTTGCAGTATGGATTACAGATGTGTTATTTTTTGGCTTATGTTAGTCATCTAGGCTTTGTTGTAAAACCAATGTATTTTAGTTGAAGGTGCACTTCATTACATTACGTGCAAAATGTGGGGAAATGAGTCCACTGTATCATGAGTCTTTAACGAGAGATCTGTGATGAAATGCAAGAACTTCACTGATGGAATAATATGGCCAACACTCATGAGGCACTAATTTAAATATATTTGTGTTGTATTAAGTATGCTTGGATATGCATTCTTAAATTGCATGCAAATTAACTAATATGCATTTAATTGTGAAAACTGTCCTTTAAAATAAGTGGATTTGAAGATACTGATTTCCTGTGGGTGAAATCATACTTTAATTGCAATTTATGACTGAAATTCCAAGAACTAGAGTAAGGATGGGATTCACATTTCGACTCTGATATGTATTTTGGGGGTTTATTTGGCTGGTGTTTTAATTACATGGCTGGCTTTTTAATTACATAGCTCTCTACAAAATGTAAGCAGAACTTTTTACTTAGTAGTGATACAAATTTTAAAACAAATTGTTTTGTCTTTACAGCTTTATAACATTCCTTTAGAAGTCTGTGGAGTGCCCCCTCAATAATTCTACTGACTTTAAAAACATATTCTTTAATTTAGGTTAGTTACGCTTCTTTGATGATATATCTAGTTGATATAAAATAAAGTTTTCTTGATTTGTTTTATAATTTTTATGTTGGCTTTCATTACTTTTATTAAAAGGCTACCATTTTTACCATAAAATTTCCTGGATGACTGATACAGTCTAATTATGTAAGTCACAAGGTTTAAGGCTAGAGTTTTTGCAAAGTTAATAAAAGTTAATAGGGCAAGTGTCCACTGTAGTTTCTTTCTTGAAGTTGTGAAAGGAATTAAGAAATTTTCATCTGATTAAGAGTTTGGGTGTTACGTCAGCTCCGTATTCCAGGGTGGAATCAGCAGAAGAGCTTTAAAACTGAAATCAACACATGCATGCTATATCAGAAAGTATTTTTATTATTTTTGACAAAGTGCTGATTGATATTTGCTAAAGTTAACAGGAATTGACCTGTGCCACTTTTAATCCCTTATTGATGGGGATTTATTTTGTCCTTTGTGAATCAGAGTGAACATATTAAGGGCATATTATACTGGTAGCTGTGGAAAAACATGGTGTATTATGTAAGCATATGTTTGCTCAGGTTCAGTTGTCTTTATTAAAATATTTGAATTTTGTGGGCACAACAAAGCTGGTTGGTGCATAATTCATCTACTGTTTGTCTTCCTCAAAAATGTAATCAAATGAAGTTGCTTTTCATAATACATGTCTTGAATCAAGCTCATCTTACCAGTTAAATGTAGGTATATGGCAGGTTTTAAGTTAGCTACCAATATAGTCAATGGTTTGGTTACATGAATGAGATACCAGTGAACATGAATAACTTGCTTAATAGAGAACATGTGAACACTTCACCCGTGTTTGAGGGAGTGGGGAGAGTTTTCGTAAGATTCATTTCCCTTTGCTAAGAATGTCTTAGATAGGCAAAGTGTTTTGTTGAACCTTCATAAAACAATGAGTTGTGCAAACGTAGTCCCTTGTGCCAATTTTAGAATGGAAGTTTTAAAACTAATTTTTATAAACTATTTTATCAGGCATGCTCTTAAATTTAGTTTTAAAAAGTGAAATGTTAATGTCAGCATTGACAAGGAAACTGCTTTAGATTAATTTGGTCTGTGGTTTGCTCTGCATTTTCAAATATTGCCATTTGAGTTCAATTTGATTAATTTTCCTCCACGTTTTCTTCTTAAAAATCACAGCTTTGTAATGTAAAGACACAAGAATTAAAAATAAAAAAAAATTGTCAGAATTTGAAGTTACTAGACTTTTGTTAGGCATTTCAAATTTTTATTAGACCTGGTATTCAAACTGGAATTTGTGTTGATGCCTAATGATGCTGCTTTTCACAGTGTGTCTATATGTTTGAAGTAACTGGAAGTTCTTGCTTAAGTGAAGTAGCTCACTGAGCTGTAGAAAACCTTTATCCTGAATAAATACTTAAATAAAAGATTAAAAGCAGTATAAATAGAGGTCCTACATGATTAAACTTGTTTGGGTTGTGCAGTTAATGCTGTGACTTTAATATCCTATTTGACCACAAGGTGTGTTAAGTTTCCCTGTAATATGTACTTGATGTAGCTAGGCCAAAGGAGTTACAAAATAGCATTTTACATTCTTAGATTTTCAAATTAATTGCAGTATTTCCATGTTTCTTAGGACTGATAAAATATACTACATTTTACTTGAAAATAGCATAAAAGAGAAAATATCATTAATATTGTCACTCCATTGGCTTCACTTGATTTTTCTTTCAATCTAGATTTTTACTTTAGGGCTTCAATTACCATTTTGGGTAAAAAGAACAGCCACAAGCTTTTATAATTATCTGTGATTGTGATATTTAACATTACTACAGTGTCACATCAATATTAGCTTTTAAAATAGTAGTTCTTAATTTGTTCTTATTTCACAAATATGGAAAGTATCTGGAAGACTAGATAATTATTAAATTGTATAGGTAAAAC